TAAAAAAGTTCAAGACATCATCCAGATATAAACCGAGACTTACAAGAAACCGAGTGAACCATTACGTACCGGATGCCAAGATCATAGGATTCCATATTCAAATCACCATATTATACCATACCATTGTTGTTCAAAACAACAAGGAGACAGGATCAACGACCAGATATATTCAACAACGTTAGAATACCAATAAATATCAAGAACCAAGAGATCGAATCGATATACATAACGAAGACAGTGCATCACCCCGTCCTTCACCTCCCGGGCTCATGCCAAAGTTCGAGTCAGAATCATACATTACGGGAAACCTCGCACTGCCCGCCTTCCTCTACTGGGTATGTGTCAAGGTTCCCTACTCATTGCTCTTCCTCCTTTCTGAGCAATGAGTATTCACAATCGCAGATAGTCTCACCCGTCCAACCCGGGATCTTGACTTCACCATAAACTTCCGGCGTGCCACACGAAGTAGTACCCATACTATGGCGTACAATTCAAGGAACAAAACAACGAGTCCGGATCCAGAAAGCAAACCGATGTACCGAGATAGTAGTAAGGAATCGACTCAAGAGACGGAATCAAAGACAAATCAAGATATTGTGACTCCATTTAGGACCAAAAACATTCATATGAAAATATATATGTTCAAATCAATATGTAACAATTAACTATATAACTCACCGGGCAACCGTACAATAACAAAAAACTCCGAATTGAGCTCACAAAGCAAGTCCAATCTACCACACTTAGATTGCTTCCAAAGTATCAAAATATGTCTTAATTACCCCCTGAGTAAATGCACAAAATCTCATAAGCAACCAATATAAGAAACTCATGATATACACATATCCTATTTGAACATTTTACCTAAATTTCTATGTATAGCTGCTGCATGCAGAACTGTTTTACCTATTTTAAGCTCGAATTCATGCCTTGATCATAAAATAAGAAATACACTAGACTCAAATATCTAACTAAGAAAATTGGCCTCACCTTATTTGGATTTTTCTACGATTTTATACAGATTTTCAAAGTCTGCACACTTTCAATGCATTCTTAAGTCGAAATTCTCATTTTCAAACATTTTTCTCAAACCATTTCGATTCCAGACCATTCCAACTTCTAAATCTCAACTTAATATAACATATTTGACATAAACAACCAAAATCAAACCTTTATTTTATCATTTATATTATCTCCCAAATCATTGACTTAATCAAGTCAAAGTTCATATGATGAATTTGCATAAATCTTGATAATCTCTTGAATCTAATGACCATTTCATGCCATAAACACTAAAAAGCACT